TTTTGAAATGCCTCTCTTACTTTGGCTTAAACAACACCTACACAGACCTCAAGATCAAGCTAAAGGCCTACCTTCTGTGTATTAGAGCCTTTCCTGGATAGAATCATTGACTTCCTCCTGCGAGCCTCAGCCCTTTGGACATATCCGCACCACAGCACTTAGTACATACAGGTAGGGCTGACTCCCGAGTGCTTTTCTCCCCTTTTCCCCCAAATCTTGTCCCATTATTTAATGGGGAAAAAAAGGGGGGTGGGGGGACAACTAAGGTAAGTATTTAACATCTTTGGAAAGCAGACATTGTACAACCCCAAAATAATCTTACTGTAATTAAATTACCATTGCCTAATATGAGCATTTCACACCCATTTAGGACACAGGTTGGGCTCAGTTCCAGCCTTGAGATTTGGCTCAGTTTTTTTCAGAGGCACATTGAATATCAGGTACGTGTGTGTCTCTTTGTCTTAGTTGTGGTTTTAATTCTAGGAAATGTAGAGCTGAGACTAAGCCCTTGCTCGGAGGGGTGGGGGCGGTGATGGGAGAACAGTGAACATAAATGTAATCCTTTTACAAACAAACAAAAAATGAAGCACATGAATTGCAGCTGTTGTGGGGCCATGTGTCTCGTGATGTTCCTGGTGGACCTGTGAACAACGCAGTTTTAAAGAGAAAAGAGAGGAGGAGGCGGGACAATTTGTTAAGACTTTATGGGGCAGATGGAGCAGCTCAGTTTTCTGGCAGGTGCTCTGCTGTGTCAGGCCCTGCCTAGCAATCATGCACCTGCCTCGAACAGAAATAGATGTAGGCTTCTCTCTCTGTTTTTGATCCAAGATTTTTCTTTTCTTTCTTTTTCTTTCCCTCTTTCCTTCTTTCTTTCTTTTTTAAGATTTTATTTATTTATTCATTCATTCAGAATGTGAGCAGAGGGAAGGGCAGAGGGAGAGGGAGACAGAGCCTCTCCGGCAGACTCTCAGCATGAGCCTGATGCGAGGCTCAATCCCAGGAACCCTGAGATCATGACCTGAGGCAAAATCAAGAGTCGGAAGCTCAACCCCTTGATCAGGAGTTTTCTTCCTCAATATCAAAGGGGGAAAGGGAGAAAGGAGGTGGCCAGAGGGGTTTGACATGGGAATGAGAACATCTCTGCCCTAATTTCTCCATCCAAAAAATAGAGGGGAAAGTCTCAGTTGTGTGTTTGTGACTGACCCTGGAGGAGATGTTCACTCAGACTTTGGAAATTAACTATGTTTCCATCCCTAGAACCTGGAGGAAAGCTCCAGAGTTCTAGAGGACATGTTATCTACCTAGGCTGAGATTCAAATATTCCCCAAACTGCCTACCTGCCCAAAAATGTTCCTGCATATTTGAGCCTCCTAGACAAAAGTGAGGGAGCCAATTCCGCTCGGATTGAAATGCAAGGCTAACCTTGGTGTCCAGGTCATTGGCTAGCCTATCTTAGGCACCACATCCAGTCCAGCCCCTCCTGTATTTTCTTTTTCTTTTTTTCTTTTTTCTTTTTTTTTTTAAGATTTATTTATTTATTTGACAGAGAGACAGAGAACACAAGCAGGGGGAGCAGGAGAGGGAGAAGCAGGCTCCCCACTGAGCAGGGAGCACGACGTGGGGTTCTATCCCAGGACCCTGGGATCATGACCTGAGTCGAAGGCAGATGCTTAACCAACTGAGCCACCCAGGCGCCCCCCCACCCCGCCCCGTATTTTCTCTCTCACCCTCACTCATTCCCAACATGGTGGCAAATTTACCCACTAAATTTGTGTATTACGCCCATCTTGATATTCCAGCTACCCATGAATATAGTGTAAGCCCCTATTGTATAGTCTGAAATTGTTCAGCTGATCTTGCTTCTACTCAAGACTCCTTTAAATCAGTGTGCCATTGCACAGGGCTGGAGTGATCACCTAAGATGTATCTATGTCCCTGTCGCTCCTAAAATCTTTCAAGAACTCCATGACAATATAGGAAAGTATCTGAGCTCCCTAACCTGTTATACAAGACCTTTCATGTTCTGGTCCTGCAACCTCTGTAAGCTCACATTTTATACTCCACCTATGCTCGCTGCTCATGATTTCCCAGAACTTTCCAGCCTTTGTGTCTACACTCTTGTGATTTCCTCAGGGCAATGAGGAAATTTCTATCAGCACTCAGATCAGCTGTGATTTCTTACAGGAGCTGCCCTTGACCTTTCCCCTTCTCCAACTACTTTTGGCCAATGGCGCCTCCTTTATATTCATCTAGAACACTCTGCTTATCTCCATCATGATCTCTGTCACTTAGTTCTCAAGTTGTCTCTTCACCCATTTATCTCTTCAACTACCTCCTTTGTGACTGAGTATGTGGATAGTGGGAATCCAGTAGTGACTCAATTTAACCTAAATCGATTTTTGAGGGATACCTGGGTGGTTCAGTCGGTTAAGCGTCTGCCTTCAGCTCAGGTCATGATCCCAGGGTCCTGGGATCGAGCCCCTCGTCATGCTCCCTGCTCAGCGGGGAGTCTGCTTCTCCCTCTGCCTTTGCCTGCAGCTCCCCCTGCTTGTGCTCTCTCTCTCTCTCTCTGATAAATAAATAAATAGATAATAAATTAATTAATTTAAAAAATAAAAATAAATAAATAAAATAAATTGATTTTTGATCTTTTAGAACTTGCAATAGTGCCAAGCTTTTTCCAGCATCAGGGCCTTGGCACAATTGTTTCTGTCTGGAATAATTTTCTTCCCACATTCTCCTTATTTCCTACACAACACGGATTATAATTTCAAATTATTTATGAAGGTAACATAGCTGGTAATTAACAGCCCAGGTATTGACATCACAGTGCCTCATTTCAAACAGCAAAATGGGTGACCTTAAGCCCCTTTCTCACTTTGTGTGTTGTGTCTGGGCACACGCTGTATGGAGTTCCTTATGTGAAAAATGAGACTAATAACCCTAGTTATGAGGATTAAGTTAAATGAGATATTATGTGCTAAACAGACTGGAACCTGGAACATAGCTTAATGTTTAGAGCTCTCTACTTAAAAAAAAAAAAGTTTGGTTTTGTTTTTTGTTTTTTTGTTTTTTTTTTTTAATTACTGAATGGGTTTGCACTGTAAACTCCAGGAAGGTGGAGACTTTGATATCTTCTTCACTATTGTATCCCAGTGCCTAGCTTGGCATACAGTATTTGCTAAATAAATCCATGTGCTCTGAATGACTGAATAAATTGCGATCCTTACTTTGGAGTGTTAATTAAAGACAAGTAGGGAACTGTGGCTGCTTAAAGCCATGTTAGTGGTCTGCTTTAGTCAGCAATAAACTTTTAAGCCTTATATTCACTTTGCTACATAAACAAGCAGCTCTTTTTTTTCTTTAGTTTAAATGAAAACACTTGCCTGAAAGTTAGATGAGTGCAGTCATTCTTTTTAAATTTTTGTGAGAGGAACACAGCTCTTATTTACTTTATTCAGAACAGAGAGTATCATGTCTACGACTGACTAAGAATTTGCCGGAATAAGTATGCTCAGTTTAAGGTGACCTTGCTCTACAGAGAACAGAGAGTCTCAGGATGACGAACTATGAGAACAAAATGACAAGCAGTATCAAAATGACAAAGTGATGTAGGAGCTGAAATCCAACAATGATCCTGGGTTTTACTTTAGTGAAAACTTTAGTTTCTTCCAGCACAAACCATCTTATGAAATCAGGGGTATGGACAGAGAAGAAGAAAAGACAACCTTTCACTTTTTAGTAGGGCAAGAGGTAAAGTTCTGAAAAGGAAGAAAAGTCTAAAGTCAGTTTCCCTGGCTTATTTTATGTGACTTTTTAAAATCACAAAACTTTCCACCAAAAATGCTGTCTTCTTTTGTTTTTAGATATTTTATTTTTTAAGCAATCTCTACACCCAACATGGGGCTCGAACTCACAACCCCGAGATCAAGAGTTGCATGCTCCACCAGCTAAGCCGGCCAGGCGCCCCTCAACCAAAAGCTTTTTAAAAATAAGTCAGTGGGGGGCACCTGGGTGGCTCAGTTGGTTAAGCAACTGCCTTCGGCTCAGGTCATGATCCTGGAGTCCCGGAATCGAGTCCCGCATCGGGCTCCCTGCTCGGCAGGGAGTCTGCTTCTCCCTCTGACCCTCCTCCCTCTCATGCTCTCTGTCTCTCATTCTCTCTGTCTCAAATAAATAAATAAAATCTTAAAAAATAAAATAAAAAAATTAAAAAAAAAAAAAAGTCAGTGGGTAAATGGAATGAGAAGAATTATGCTAGAAAACCCGGCTTGAGGAAAGCTGAATGCAGCCAAGGCAGACAGGATAATGTGGTAGCTACTTACTTCTCACTCTCAACAGAGACCAGCCCTGTGGATCATCGGGAGCAAAGCGCTACGAGTTCTGCCCAAAAGCCCATAAGCACCAATGGACCTCAGCATCCTGAGCACAGAAGACCCAGGGCCAGCTCCTTCATTTTCCAACCCCAGAACCAGTACCAATTCTTTTGCTGGCCAATTATATATGTGATAAACATTTTCAGTCATGTCCTGCATCATATGTCGTTTGTCATATTACATGATCTCAGAGCTTGAATGTCATGATTTTGTGCAAAGCTTAAACATGGGCAGGTGGTAATGGTTTCAGAGGAGGAAGAGGAACAGGCTTCCGAGTATAGATCTGGGGTTCTGGCCACTAGGCTTGGGAATCAAGCTACTGCATCTTAGCTCCCTTCTTGGGAAAGACACTAACAGCACAGATTCCCTCCTTGGGCAAATGATAGGTGGCTTTCTTGCTTGCCCAAAGAACACAGAATCTCTTATCTTTAAGACCCAAATACCATTCCTTGTTTATAATTTTTGTCTCTAGAGTCTTTCAACTATAAGCCAGATGAAAGAGCAATTCTAACCCTTTCCGACCCTACAGAAAACTGGAGGACTGAGGAAAGACAACTGTGGGAGGATGAGGGGAAGAGCAGGGGGGAGGGCTGGGGGGAGGGCTCTGGCCAATTGTATACTTACCACTTTTTGGTTCCCTTCATTATCGGTGAGCAGCCATTCGATATCCAGGGTGTCTTTTTCTGGAAGCCCCAGTTGATGGTGACAGGGCAAAGTGACCTTTTCTTCTGCCACTCTCTTGATCTCGGTGTGAGTCCCCAAGGTTCCAATATAGTAGGAAACTGGAAGAGGAGAGCCTCTAATGAGTAATGCAGAAACGCACAGCTATGTGTGGTAAGCAAATATTACAACAAATAATTACTGGGTGTTCCTGTGGGCAAGGGGCAAATCAAGGAGTTGGAAGAATCCTAGACCAGAGGTACCAGAAGTCCTGGAACCTCCCACTGGCTCCTCCTTTAACTGAATTCATCATTATCTTCTTTAGCCCCCCGAATTATACTCTTCGCATTGTCTGTCTTTCCTACCTTTTTGCGTTTTTATGGATGATGAAATTACTCAGGTCAACAATTGTGTTTTTTTTTTTTAACTTTCTCTCCTTTACCAGCACCGGCTTGCAAAAGGACAGAAACCAAAGGAAAGGCAGGGGTTGGCATCCTCCCCAGAACAGGCTCCAGATATCACTTCACCCCTTGAGCCACCTTAGAGACAGGCTACCCCCACAGACCGACAGGTAAGTGCAGGATGCCTCAGGGAATGAGCGGGATCTTATAGGCAGTTCCTGCTTCTCTTAGGGACACTCATCCTCTGTTCCCCCAACTTCTGTCTTCCAATCTCTATAGTCTCATCCCATGTGGCTTCAAAATATGAAGCAACCCTTCCTATCCAGAGTGAAATTCCAAGTTATTACATTTGGATCCCATCCCTCCACCCATCCAGTATCCCTTTGGCCAACAGGATTTCAGTTCCACTTTTGTCTTTCTTTACCTCTAATTTTCATCATGTTCCACGAATGGTATCTTGTCAGCAACCCTAGGCTCCAGGCTCGCTCACCTTCTCTCCTTCCTATTCATTTCAGACACCATGGACTATGAAATCCACGGTGTTAAATAACCTCACCTGGATTCTAGGTATGATGTGTCTGGCATTAAGATGTGCTCTAAGATCCTCCTTTGTCTCCTTGCACATGATAAAGGAGCTCAGCATGAAAAGCCATTCACAATGTTCCAATGCCAAGTTCACAAGGTAACAGAATCATACAACCTCCAAGTTGGAACAGCCCCAAGTGTCAGGGTTGCTGGTGAAGTCCTCTCTCCTGAGGAGCACTCACTCTGCCACTTCAGAGGGTTTTAAGCACTAAAGATCAAGGATCATGGCTCACAGAAGCATATAAGCTACCTTTCTTATTCCCTGTTCATTTCCCAAGATAGATTAGCAGTAAATCTGTAGAAAGGAAAAGGGCCTGAAAGGAGGAAGAAGGGAGCAGGGAAGACTGTAGTTCCCTCTAAACAGGGGGGCAGATTGGGTTGACACTGCAGGGTTGGACCCTCAGAGGCATCCACCCTCAGAGAAGCAGCAGGTGGATTCCCAAGCTCCATGGCAAACAAAGGAGACCACAGAGATCTGTGGGGCATAAGAAAGGGCCTTCAGAACCAACAGGATAAGCCCCTCATAGGGTCTTACTGACATTCCCAATAAGGTTTCTGTTATTTCTGTTGGAAACTTGAAACTCAATGAGAGTGGCCACCATTTAGGAAGTATGTCATATGGTTTGGCTGTACATTGATTACTCAACCCTATGAAGAAACGGTGATTATCCAAATCTGTGGATGAAACCGAAAGAGGAGCTTAGCAATTTGCTCAAGATCACACAGCTAGGAAAGGACAGATCAGGGGCTCAACCCCAGATCTGTCTCACTGCAAAGCTCATACTCCAACAGCCACGCTAGGCTGCTTCCGCCCTATGTCTTATGTGGCTTCCTGGACATGTGGTTCTCCCATTAGCCTGTAAGCTCCTTGAGATTAGGTACCAATTCACCACTACATTCCCAAAGCTCTCAACCCAGGGCCCCTCACACTGCAGGTGCTCAAAAAACAGTTGTTGGATGGACTTAAAATTTAACCCATGTACTCGTTTCACCCATGAGCAAACTGAGGCTCAGGGATAAAGGAGTTGCCCTGAGGTCCTACAACTCCTTTAAGGCATAACCCATATAAAACCCATCCTCCCTCAGTCCCCATAAAGCAGCTATAGGACAGCAGGGAGATTAGCCAGTTTGCATTGCACTAAGCTAAGCTTCGAAGAAGGAGCTATGGTTTCTACCCCTGCTCACTTTCCACTGGATACAATGATCAAATGAAACCAGCATCCCATGCCCCTGGCGAAGCTAGAGAACCCAGCACCAATTTGGTGCATACAGTAGGCGCTATACATTAAATAAATAAATGCAAAGACGCAGCTATGAAAGTTGCCGATTTGAGCCACTAGAGGGAATCAAAGGCTCAGATTTAGTTGATGTCCCAAAAGGGAAGGAACACAGTGGTGGGTGGTGTGCTTTGCCAGAGTGCCAAGTTCTATTTATACTGTAGCCAGAATTAAATACGGCAGTGCGGGGAGGGGGCCGCCCAGTGAATCAAATGACTTTACCAAGGCAGGGAAACTCAAGATCAGAGTGCATGCACCTCTAGTCTTCCCTGAACCTCAGCTCCCCAGACTTCAGGGGGTCTCACTAGGATCCCTGCAAATTTCTCAGATTTCTCCTTCAGTGCTTTTTTTCCCCACCACACACCTGTGTTCTGTAACCTAAGCAGACAGGGGCCTGGGCTCTGTATAGAATTCTCAGGCTTGGCAAAGGGTAAGGGGGCTGCCAAGCACATGTATCCGCTGTCTGGTGGGTGAGTGGGAAGAGCTAGCCGTGGGCTCCCAGGCATTAAAGGGTTCATCTTTGTTAAGAAAGACCATAAGAGATCATCAAAATTTAACTTAGGAGGAAATTACAGCTCAGAGAATTGAAACATTAACAGAACTGCAAGTAAGGAAATACAGCTGATCCTTGAACAATGCAGGGTTATTGGGACTGCCCCCCTCGCAGTCCAAAATCTACATATAACTTTTGACTCCTCCAAAACTTAACTACTAGGAGCCTACTGTGGATGGGAAACTTTACCAATAACATAAACAGTCAATTAGCATGTATTCTGTTATGTACATTGTATACTGTATTCTTTTTTTTTTTTTAATTTATTTGAGAGAGAGAGAGAATGAGAGAGAGCACATGAGAGGGGGGAGGGTCAGAGGGAGAAGCAGACTCCCCGCCGAGCAGGGAGCCCGATGCGGGACTCGATCCCGGGACTCCAGGATCGCGACCTGAAGTCGCCCAACCAACTGAGCCACCCAGGCGCCCCTGTATACTGTATTCTTATAATAAAGTCAGGTAGAGAAAAGAAAATATTAAGAAGATCATAGGAAAGAGAAAACACATGTACAGTACTGTACTATAAGAAATCCACGTGTAAGTGCATCCACACAATTCAAGGGTCAGTGGAACTCTCCACGGGGCGTCTGAGATGCGCCCTGCACTTGATGGTGGGAGAAGGTGCTGGAAGGTAGCAGTGGTGCGAACATCCTCTGTGTGCGTGTGCAAGATTCAGTCATGGCAGCCTCCAGCGCTCCCTAAGGGAAGGCTTCTAATACAACTCAGGCACGTAACACAGGCCCTTTGAGAGCCTGACCTTGGGAGAATTACCCTCCCTGAGCCTTACCGTTCTCATCTGCAAAATGGGAATTAAAGGAGACACTGACTAAGGCACCCAGCACAGTGATTGCACATAGGAATCTCCCCGCTAAAATGTCAGTTCCCTTCCCTTGCTTTTCTCTACTAGAAGAAGGGTTGTTTTATTTTCTCAGATGAGATCATCATTTTCTCAGCTGAGTTCAAGATTTTATTCTCTCAAGGACATTTACATTTACTAAAGCTTTTCTTGAGCCTTTAAGACCTTCAATGAGATGGGCAGGGGTCACTTTTTGTTTTTCAGCATGTATACTTTTATATAACCGAGGGAAATAAGACACGTATTTTGAAGATGAGGCTATTGAGAAGATAATTGTACATTTTATTTTACTTATTTTTTAAAGATTTTATTTACTTATTTTTAAAGACTTTATTTATTTATTTGACAGAGAGAGAGAGAATACAGGCAAGGGGAGCCAGAGAGGGAGAAGCAGGCTCCCCGCTGAGCAGGGAGCCGATGCGGGGCCCGATCCTAGGATCCTGAGATCATGACCTGAGCCGAAGGCAGACGCTTAACCAAGTGAGCCACCCAGGCGGCCTGATTTTATTTTTAAGTAATCTCTACACCCAATGTGGGGCTTGAACTCACAACTCTTGAGATCAAGAGTCACATGCTTTACCAACTGAGCCAGCCAGGTACCCCGATAATAGTAAATTTTCATTTTTATTTTTTTTTAAGATTTTATTTATTCATTTGACAGAGACAGAGAGCACAAGCAGGGGGAGCGGCAGAGGGAGAGGGAGAAGCAGGCTCCCTGTGGAGCAGGGAGCGCGATGAGGGGCTTCATCCCAGGACCCTGATCGAACTTTTCTCAGTGGACCTGTTCACCTACCTAAATGGGAAGAGAATTTTCTTGTGTTTTCCTTTACATATCTAGAAAGCCTCATGAGAATCAAAATCATTGAATGTCCGTCAGAAAAATAAAAAGGACTTTGGACATTTTTATTTTTTTTAAAGATTTTATTTATTGGGCACCTGGGTGGCTCAGTCAGTTAAGCGTCTGCCTTCAGCTCAGGTCATGATCCCAGGGTCTTGGGATCGAGTCCTGCATCGGGCTCCCTGCTCAGCCAGGAGTCTGCTTCTCCCTCTGCCCCTCCCCCCTGCTTGTGCATGTGCTCTCTCTCTCTGTCTCAAAAATAAATTAAAAAAAGATTTTATTTATTTATTTGAGAGTGAGAAAGGAGAGGGAGAGAGAGTCTGAGGCAGACTCCGTGCTGAGCACAGAGCTTGACATGGGGCTTAATCCCACGACTGCAAGACCATGACCCGAGCCAAAACCAAGAGTCGGATGCTTAACTGACTGAGCCACCCAGGCGCCCCAGACTTTGGATATTTTTAAATCAACTTCTCTCATTTTACAGATCAAGAAACTGAGGCTTAGAGAGAAGTGACTCACTCAAAGCCCTCTTGATTTCTAGACAAATGACATACATAAAATTCTGTAGGGGTGGTGTGTGTGGGTACATGCGTGCATGTGCATGTGTGTGTACATGCGTGTGTGTGTGTGTGTGTGTGCAGAGGCATGTGCCTTCCTGATGGTTTCTGGAACACAATCTGCAATTCAAGAGATGGCATGATGTAATAGAAGGAGCATGAACTTGGGAGTCAGATCAACAGAGATTTAAGTAGTGCCTGTTAGTCCAATTAATTTCCTGACCACTCTGGGTCTTTTTTTCTTCCCTGTGAAATGAGAAGAAAAACATCAGCCGGGAAAGACTGTTGTAAGATTATATATGATGTATGTAGATTATGTGACACTGACGCCCGGGATACAGGACCCACTCACTACACAGTAATTATTATTGCTCATAATTGTACATACTATATTTCCAAAAACAAGGAAAACCAGAAGAGCATGCTGAGGAGATGAAGCAGGAGGGTGAGGAGTTTGGAAGTCATTTTGCTTGATAACCGTTAATATTTGGCCATATTTGCTTTGTCTCTCTCTCTCTAGTTTTTGCTGCACTGGTTGAAAGTAAGTTAAGATAACATGACATTTGACCTCTAAATGTTTCAGCAAGGACCCCCTAAAACTAAGGGTCTTCTTCTACATAACCAGAACATACCACCACACCTAAAAAAGTGAACAATGTTGTGTGGAAGGCCATTTTTTAAAAAAAAAGATTTTTTATTTTTAAGTAATCTCTACACCCCACGTGGGGCTCAAACTTATAACCCCGAGATCAAGAGTTGCATGCTCTACCGACCGAG